CCCAGTGGCCCTGGCAGCCAATGGGGCCCAAGTTGAGGTTTCGGGGAGGGCCTGCCTGGCTGGGTGCAGTCCCCAGAGGTACCTAAATGGGTTGGCCTTGGGCCGGAATGAGTCACTGTGATGGTGCTGAGTTCGAGTGTGCCAGGGTGGTTTACCCTCCCTTGGCGGTTGAGCGCGAGGCCATCTCCACCGGGCTGCAAGCGGGCGTCCTCCACCGCTGCCGCAGCCCGGAGAAACCAGGGGGGCAAGCGCACGCTTGGCCTGGCCCAGGGCTGCCTTTGCCCCCTCTCCCTTGTAACCACGTGTGCTTTGCCAGGTCCCGTCCACCGGTGGACGGCTGACCAACCACCCTTCTTGGTGGAGACGGGGGTCCTCCAGAGCCACCGCGCGGATGTATCCTGGCGGTCGGGATGTGTTGAGGACAGTGGCCGTTTCCGTTTAGAGATGGCACTTAGGTCCCCCCTTGCCCAGCGAAACCACCACAGAACCCTTGGTCTCACCCCAAAACGGGAAGTGCTCCGTCTCCCCAACCATCTGAGCAGCCCAGCCCCGGAGCTGGGTGCAATTTTGTCACCGCCCTTCTTCTACCGGAGACCCCAAACCGGCCCTGACCTGCTGGTGGGATATTGGGAGCAGAGGGGAGCGACGGCGTCCAGGACAGCGGGGACGCCGTCCGGGCGCTGCGAGCTCAGCGAGGGCTTCCTGCAAGCTTTTCCATGGGGAAACACCGTGAGGGGGGTACAAGAGCTAGCGGGAGGTGGCGGGACCGGGGCGATGTCAGCCATTTAATGCGGTGGTGGGTTAAGGGCAAACACCGGGTCAGCGCGCATGAGATGTTTCCAGTTCGGTGCCAGGAGACGGGAAAAGCGAGGGCCATGGGCGCGAGGCTCCCGGGAATGCAACTCTGCAGGGGCTCAACCCAGGGTGGCCCAGGCTCCGCTCTGGTGCGTGGAGAGCTGGGCGTTACCTCGGGAAGGCCGTGGTCTCCAGCAGGGCCCTGTTCACCTCTTTCCTGCAAGGAGAAGCCAGAGTGAGCTGGGCTCAACCCGGGGAGGAGGTTTGTCCCTGCCGAGCTGCAGCTCCCCAGCGCTTCCCACTCAGCCCAACCTCTCCGTCCGTAAAACCTGACTAGTCGAGGAGAAAGGAGGAAGCCTCACCTGCGCCTCCGCCACCAGAAGGCCCCAGCGATGGCCGGAGCCACGATGACCAGCCCAG